TTCTCGGGATCTTCGGACTTCGGGACTTGCTTCGGGTCTCAAGATGATATCGGAGCTGGGGGGGGGGGGTTGTTAAAGTGAGGCTTAGAGGGTGTATCGGAAGTGGGAGAGAAGGGATGGAGCAACCATAATCGGCTGGCCCTTCAAATCTATTTATAGGGCAAAATTTGCCCTTGCCACATCATGGCACCTTTTCCACGTCGTGGGCTTGGTCGTCACTCCATGCTTCATCGCAAGTTGCGTCTGGGGGACTCCAGGAGGTGTCAGAAGACTTTCCACGTCGTGGCACTGCTTTCCACGTCGTGGTACATGACAGTTTTGGAGTTTCGCGCCCCGAACTTCATAAATTCATAACTTTCGCATACGAACTCCGTTTTCGACGTTCTTTATATCGACATGTAGGTGAGATTATGCTCTACAACTCTCGCTTAGACTCTGTTGGCTAATTTTGACTTTAATTTTAATATATTATAAATATATTACTTTCATATTATTTTTAGCAGGCCGGGACAGGAAAACTCTGTTATAAATTCATAACTTCTTCATCCGACGTCCGTTTTCGCCTATCTTTTTATTTTTTTACTACTATCAATGAGATCTTTAATTCTCATTTAGATTGTTTCGGCTAAAAATCAATCGATCTCAAATCGAGGATTCGGGCTGCATACTACTAAGTCGAAACTTCGGAAAAATCATAACTTCCTCATACGAAGTCAGATTTGGGCATTCTTTTTATGCACGCTCTCGATTTAACGAACTCTACGACTTTCATTTAGATCACTAAGGATAAATATCACTCTAACGTAAATTCACTTTTTACGTCATTCAGCGTCGTGCCGGTTCTGTCGCGAAACTTCTACAGGTCATAACTTCTTCGTTATAACTCGGATTTCGGCGTTCTTTATATCTCCGGAATCCTTGTCACGGCCACTACAATTTAGTTAAGATTATCCACCCTAAATAATCTTCTACCAAAAAGTCATTTTTGACGTTTATCGTCTCTAAATTGACTAGTCCGGATCTACGGGCGTTACAATCGATTCTGGTGCAAGTGGTCACATGTGTTTTAATAAATCCATTCTCATAAACACACAAAAGTTAAAAAATCCTTATAGAATTACCCTTCCAAATGGTCAACAAACTTATGCTTTTAAATTTGAAAGCATAATCTTAGCTGATAATGTACTTCTTCATGATGTTTTGCATGTTCCTCTTTTCAAATTCAACCTTCTTTCCATTGCTAAACTCTACAAACAGTTACATTCATTTGTTGTGTTTTCAGAACATCATTGTTTCTTGTTGCAGGGCCCTTCAATGAAGATGTCACTAGTTCTTGGTAAACACAAAGTTGGATTGTACTTCTTGCAGTCCAAGCCAACTCCCAACACTGGAATTGTTCTTTCAGTCACTGCTAATCCATCTTTTCATTCTTTAGTTGTGTTTTCCAAAAATACCCCTATAAACAGTTGTAATGTGAAAAACACTCATGTTTTAAATTCCAATTTTCTTTTTCTACTTCTAAGAATTTTCAAATAACTACTTGGCATATGAGGCTTGGTCATGTTCCTTTGTACAAGCTTAAAACTCTATGTTTGTCTAATAAAGAAAATTTTAGTTTCAATATGTGATGTATGTTCAAAGGCTAGACAACACAAATTACCTTTTGGTCATAGTACAATTCATACATCTTCCCCATTTCAACTTATTAACCTTGACACATGGTGTCCATATAACAGTCATATTTTTTTTACCATTGTGGACGATTTCTCAAGATCAATATGGACACACCTTTTGAGTACTAAAAGCAATGCATTTGGTGTTATAAAGGGTTTTATTGAAATGGTTGAAACTCAATTTGGAAAGAAGGTTCAAACTATCAGATCAGACAATGCTTTTGAATTGGGATCAAACACTGAAGCCATTTCTTATTTTCAACAAAAAGGGATAATTCATCAAACAAGTTGCATTTATTCACCCCAGCAAAATGGTGTAGTGGAACAAAAACACAAGCATCTTCTTGAAACTTCAAGAGCTTTGTTATTTCAGTCTAAATTACCCTTAAAATTTTGGGGTGATTGTGTCCTTACAACCACTTACCTTATCAATCAATTTCCAACCAAAATTCTTCAAAACAAATCTCCATACTCTCTATTACATGGAACTACACCCTCTTATGATCACTTGAAAACCTTTGGATGTTTATGTTATGCCAGTACCTTGCAGCATAACAGGGACAAATTCCAACCAAGTTCAATACCTTGTATTTTCATTGGATACCCTTATGGAAGGAAGGCATACAAGTTATATAACATGGGGCAACATAAAATTGTTATTTCTAGAGACGTGGTATTTCATGAGACCATTTTCCTTTACAATCTTCAAAATTCCAAAAATACCCCTGCACGTATATTTTCTGGAGAAAACAATTTGTCCCAATTTGAAGATGTTCTTCATACATTTATACATTCAAATCCATTTTCTGAATCAACAACTCAAATTCCTCAACCACAAAATGATGATTTTCAACCTCCAATTCAAAATCCAATACAACATAATCATAATTTTGTTCCACTCAGAAGAACCTCAAGAACTTCATATCCTCCTATTCATCTTCAATATTATGTTTGTAGTGCTTCTTGTGACAACGGTAATAGTTCATGTCCTTCTTTTGCTTCTTGCATGCATATAGTTACTCATATTTCTTCCCTAACACATATTTGTTTCAGTACTCTGTCTAATGACAGTAAGAAACTCATTTACAATTTGGATAAATTCAAAGAACCATCTTCTTATGAAGAAGCAGCTGCATTACCAGAGTGGCAAGAAGTAATGGACAAAGAGTTTGCTGCTCTTGAAGAAAATCAAACTTGGAAAATTGTAGAATTACCAAAGGGTAAGAAACCTATTAGCTTCAAAAGGGTATATAAGCTTAAGTACAAAGCAAATAAAGAATTTGAAAGGTGTAAAGGAAGAGTGGTTGTAAAAGGTTTAACACTGAAAGTTGGCATTGATTACACTGAAACCTTCTCTCTAATGGTAAAAATGACCATAATTCATGCACTTATAGCTACTGCTTTCAAGAAAAGTTGGCCAATGTATCAATTAGATGTTAACAATGCTTTTCTTCATGGAGATTTGCATGAAGAAATATATATGAAGTCACCTCCTGGTTTGAAATTGACCAATCCTAATCAAGTTTGACTCTTACAAAAGTCTCTTTATGGCTTAAAACATGCATCAAGACAATGGCATGCCAAGTTGTCGTCATCATTAAGGGATAAAGGGTATAATCCTTCAAAAAATGACTATACCTTATTTTACAAACATTCAGGATCATATGTCATGTTTGTTGTTGTATACGTTGATGATATTATGATCACAGGCAATCATGAAATGGAGATTATACAATTGAAAGCATTACTTGACACAACATTTAAAATCAAAGATCTTGGATCTTTAAAAAAATTTTCCTTGGCGTTGAGGTATTATACACTAATGCCGATGTTGTTCTTACTCAAAGAAAATGTGTACAAGAAGTGATAAAAAGAATTTTATTCAAAAAGAACAACTGCTTGTTCTTTACCACCAAATGGCAAACTTTTATTGGGACAAGGTGAATTAATGGAATCCCCAGAAGTTTACAGAAAATTGGTGGGAAAACTCAATTTTCTTGTGAATACACGACCAGATTTAGCATTTGCTATACAACATTTGTCCTGATCTATGTCTAATCCAAGAATTCCACACTATGAAGCAGCCCAACACGTTTTGCAATATATCACTTTTGATCCAAATCAAGGTCTCTTAATGAACAACAATAATGATTATTCCTTAAAGGCCAATTGCGATTCTGGCTGGCTTCATGTCCCTAATCTAGACGAAGTGTGAGTGGTTTTATCATTTTACTTGGCAACAGTCCCATTGCTTGGAAGTCTAAGAAGCAGATAAGTGTATCATTGTCATCAGCTGAGGCTGAATACCGAAGTATGCAACGTGTGACTGCTAAGTTAGCCTGGTTAACTCGCTTACTACATGAACTTACTGTTCCCAATGTTCTTCATGTTCCTATCCGATGTAATAGCCAAGCCGCTATATATATTGCGAAGAACCCAGTATTTCACGAAAGAACAAAACATGCTGAATTAGACTGTCATTTTGTACGCGAAAAACTTCATGACGGCTTGATTACTCTTCAACATGTTCCCACTACTTCCCAACTTGCTGACTTGTTTACTAGGAACTTACCAGGTCGCCAACATCACCATTTGTTAAACAAGTTAGGAGTGTCACACTCTCTAACTTGAGGGGGGCTGTTAGTATATTAATTGTTAGTCTGTTAGTAAGCAGTTAGAAGTCGGCTAGTTAACACGTGAGTAACTCTTGATGTTGTTAGAAGTTTGTTAGATAGCAGGTATTTCTTCTTCATCTTGTATATATATTCTCAGTGCATTGTACAGAGTAAATTAATGAATCATTTTCAGTCATTGAATTCTTGTTTTCTTTCTACGCATCATTTCAATAACAAACAGCCTTTAAGTCCAATGATTTCATTTATCGAGTTTAAGAAGAACTAGGAAGGGAGTAGTTAACTGAAATGTCATTTAAATTTCATTTGTTGATTTTCAATACAATAAATCAAAACAAATAGCAGAAGCAAATTTATAATACAACAAATGTTTAGGGTTACTTAATAACAACTAACTTAACATACAACAAATGTTTTAGGGTTATTTTTGATCTTGACAAGTAGAGACTATGGTCCAAAGCAGAACCCTTGTAAACATTATTATTGCACTCTTAGCAAAACAAGACGCCTTTATGAAAACTTTCATTTTTTCAGAGGAAGAAAAATAGGTTGTTCCCATAAAAAATGTTATCATTTTCTATAACTTTTCGATCGTGATTTGATTTTTTACCCATTTTCACTCTAGAAATTAGTAATTTTGATTTTGATCCATAAGCTTTCGTCTTATTGTTCTTATCGAATAGTCTTGTAAACATTTCTTCAATAGTCAGATGCTTTTGTCAAATTATATATAAAATCAAACATCACAATTTTCTTAAATATAAGAACAAAAGATGATTCAATCCACCTACCCACAATTTATAAAGTATACCTTACAATTAAAACAACAGCAACATACTTACATTACAACAAAACATGATTCAATCCACTTACCCACAATTTTACTCAATTGTACAAGAACCATCTGGTGTCTCATAGGTGGATAGGAAGAACAAACTTTGTTTCTTCTGAAGGAACCTGAGTTATAATTTATAAAATGTTTAAGATTAAGATGATTAAAAAAAACATATAATTGTTAACAGGTAAAAAATAAGGATGAAAATACTTGAGAAAGTCTTGTAAATTGTGTTGTAGTTCTCTCAATGTCTCCTCTTCAATGTTAGCATTGTAAAGTATCTCAGGCAATTTAACTGCAAATCAATCAAACAATGTAATGTTAAGATCCCAAACAAGATTTTTATACTTTAATTTAAATATTTAATAATAAAAGTTTAATAGAAAAATACCAAAAAGACGTAACAAATGTTCAGCTCCATAAATTTTAGAAGGAGAAATTTGGTTTGCAGTTGCTTGTTGATACTGTTGGCTTTCAGTTTTGTAAAGAAGCATTGCAGGCAAAGCTTTATCAAAGTAGCAACGTAATCCACTTACAACTTCTCCAGCTAAATCTAATTCCCTTCATACAAAAATAATAAAAGTATATAAAATATAAATAATTAAATTTTATGAAAATGCATGTGGAAAAAGAGAGGAAATTATATTAACCTTCCATCCTTGTTTGATCGATGCTCCAAATACATCTTCAATATGTCATCAACATTTGGAGAACATGGAAGTTTAACAAGCTGCAAAAAAGAGTTTGACAAAATAAATTTATAGAGACTAAAAGTTTAAAAATAATTACTCATTGGTTTACGTTTACCTTCCCCATATGAGTTATATATTCACTATAATTCACCAAATGCTTCTTCAGTGATGATGGTATATGGATATCAATCAGCTTTTCATAAGACACAGTGCCCTTGCATACAAGGGATAAAATTTATATTTTAGTCCAAAGTGAAAAAAAAAAAAAAAAAAAAAAAAAAAGATAATCAACTAAACAAAAAAAAGAATACCTTGGACATGGTTTTCCTCTTCATGCCCTTTGTCACTGCAATGTATTAAAGAAACAAAAATCCAAGTTTAATAAATTTGTTTTGGTTGATATACAAAAAACTAGGATTAATATTTAATAGAATGTGGTTTCTAACTATTCGGGTTTTTGGGCTTCAACTCATTCTCGAGTGCTTTCTGTTTTTGAAGATTCTCATTGTTTATGTTCATGAGACGATCAATGCCTACCCATTCATCCCATCTATCAAAATTTAAACCAGATGATATATCAGCTACAATCATAATTAGTTATGTAAAATCAAGTATATATAAGATATAATTACTCACTTTTGTTTCCACCCCTGTAAATACAAAACAAATGTAAACTGTTAGCATTAAGCCTTGTGGAAATGTTCTATAAATCCAATGGTAACAAAAGCATAAGAACCTAGTATACAAATATCATATGGAGCACATTGTTTAAGAATTGAAAATAGATTGATTAATAATACTTACTAGATAATGGATGTAATAACGCTTTTCCTTGGAATCAACTTCTAGCACCTGTTAGATACAGAGGGGACGCATCAGAAGCTATTATGCAAAGAGTTATAGAATAATGGAGTGACATAAAATGTACACATAGGATCTAAAGGGGTAAGGGGGCAACTATTCTATAAAAAGATACAGATGGAGTTATCATGTCAAATGGAGTACTTTCTGTGTGAAATTTTCAATAGAAATTGGGGTTTTACATAAGATCAGTAGCGTAATTGTTTTATTATCTTTAGTAATGGAGGCCACATATAAGGCTTTATGACTAAAGCGGGAACCCTTGACATGAGCATTCTAAAAGAGTGTTGGGGACGCTCTTCATTGTTTTTGTGGTCCTGAATCAATGAATTAAGCTGAGATGGGCAGATTGATCACATACTCAATTTCCATAGGGATTTCATTTCACAATCATTGCTTCCATGGAACAAAAGCGAGAAGTGCGAAAGAGAAACCATTACAAAAAAATCAGTGATAATACGATAAGTATCGAAAGCACATAACGGCACCTTAGCTTCGTAAATGCGAAGGTTATGATAAGCCAAGACTTTCTCTCCTTGACGGAAGGGAGTCGATACAGACTCAACGGCGCCATCTTTACTTACAACGTCCGTATCCGTCTCCGTAGTGGCGTCGTATTCGTCGGAGATGGTGGCGGATTCATCATCATCTGTAGCGCTGCCGGAGTTTGAGCTTTGCATTTCGCGTTTAAAACAGCAACAATTAGGATGCACGATAACTCGAAAATCAGAAAGTATTTGAGAATTCTGAGTGTTAAGTAGTTAGAGTTTACTCACTTGATCGGAGACTTCATTACTGAACGGTGGTTCTATGATCGATAGCCCACCCGATCGGTCAAAACCCAAATGAGCTGAAGTTCATAGCTGACGTTTTGGGCCCATTTGAAAAACACACACACAAAAATAAAATAATAATAATAATAATAATAATAATAATAATAATAATAATTCTTAAAAGTTCTATATATTAGTTTTTTCTGGATTTTTTTCTTAAATTTTTTTAATTTTTTATTCGACCATTTTAAAAGTAATCTTCTGGTTTTATATATAAGAGTTATTACAAAAATAATTTTTATTTGATGCTAAATTTGAATATATATATATATATATATATATATATATATATATATATATATATATATATATATATAGGGTTACGTTCATGTGAGACAGCCTAATTTTGTGAGACCGTGAGACGTATTTTTTTATTTTTTGTATTTTTTTTTTTTAGTTAATTCAAGTTCCGAAAATAATATTTAAAAAAAGAACTTTCTGATTTTTCCATTTATTTTGCATTTTAAAATTATTTTTAGAATATGTATAGTGTAATATTCTATTTAGAATATTTCACGTATTTTTCAAAAATCATAGAATTTTTTTATTTTTTTTATTAATTCAAGTTCTAAAAATAATATTTAAAAAAAGAATTTTTAGATTTTTCCATTTATTTTGCATTTTAAAATTCTTTTTTAGAATATGTCGGTGTAATATTCTATTTAGAATATTTCACGTATTTTTCAAAAAAAAAAACGGAATTTTTTTTATTTTTTTATTTTTTTATTTTTTTAGTTAATTCAAGTTCCGAAAATAATATTTAAAAAAAGAATTTTTGGATTTTTCCATTTATTTTGCATTTTAAAATTATTTTTAGATTTGGTCTCACGGTCTCACAAAATTAGAATGGTCTTAAATGAACCTGAACCTATATATATATATATATATATATATATATATATATATATATATATATATATATATATATATATATATATATATATATATATATATATATATATATATAAAAGATCTTTTATGCAATTAACTATAAATTAATTGGTCAAATAAAAAATATAAAATTATAAGAGCTTTTTCAAAAATAAAATAAAATTATAGTCTAATAAGAAAAAACTATATATATATATATATATATATATATATATATATATATATATATATATATATATATATATATATATATCTTTTATGTTATTAACCCATAAAAAACATTAAAAACCGAGTTAAATGAAAAAATATTAAATATCTTCAGATATTTAATCTTTTATCGTTTTTATAAAATAAAAAATAATAAGTTAATAATATCATTTCCTTATAGTTGTATATTATATTTGATGTTAGACTATTTTTTTGAATGTATTAATGATAAAGAGATCTTAGTTAAAACACTTCTTTAGTTACCTAAAAATCAAAATATCACTCTTGATGACGACATAGATAATCATCCTTCTTTTAGGGATGGTTCGTATGTTCCATGTGGTTTGTTTGGTATTGAATGTTGTATGTTTTCATTTAATGAACAAAGTTTGGTTTAACTAAGAGCTTTGAGATGGTTCGATAACTTAGAGGATTAAAAGCATGAATCATACTTTTTAATTGGTTGTATTTGCTTTTCATGATGGTTGGTCAAGTAACAAAAATATTGTATTTTCAGATACATCATTATGGATTGGATTAATCTGTCTAGTAGGTATCCGTCCATCAAAATGTAGTTACTAAAAATAGTAAAACACATAAGAGGGGGTGTGATTTACCCATTTACAAAGTTGGTTCATGTGACCCTTTTTATCCAAAGAAGAAAAAAACATTCACTTCTTAATTCCATCTTATACATTTTGTATATGATCGGATATGGAAAAGATCAAATGAAAACAACTAAAAGGTTGAGAACGCGAAAACAAGTATATTCATTTGTGATTTCATATATTCATTTGTGGAGAAATGATAATTTTTTACGCACAATCAACATGAATGTGTTTTTTCTCTTCAATTGAAATTAAAGGCGTAAAAATTTATCATTCCTCCACAAATGAATACATGGAATCACAAATGAATATACTTCGTTGTTTTAACTTCTATTAACTTCTTCAATAACTCATCATTCTGCGCTTTCAGGGCAGCAGCTTCATTCTCATGCTTCTTTGCTGCTCCAGCTTCTGCCAACTTTTTAACTAAGTCATCATTCTTGGTTTTCAGGGCAGTAGCTTCATCCTCTGCCCGGATCTTGGCACCCTCAGCTTCACTTACCCATCCAAGTAGTTTCAACCTGCCTGCCCGAAGGGAAGTTGTCTAACCCTCAACTTGTACTCTAGCTGCTTCAGCTCAACTTGCCTCCTTGATAACATCAACCCTCTCTGCCTGCACCTCCTTCAACTCATTCTTCAAGCGAACAACCACCTCAGTAGCAATGCCAATATCCTTGGCTTGTGATGTCATCATAGCTTTACATCGCATCAACTCCTCTTTGAGCTCAATCACTTTGGCTTCAAAAGTTTCCAACCTCTTGGTCATTTTTGCCATCAGAAGTAAGCTCTCAACAACTATACAATGTAATTCTTTCTGTGGCAAAGCAGAAAACTTCGTCTTTGTCCCCGGGGGAATCACATGAGTTATGAAGTCCAACGCCTTATCAGCCTCCAACAGATTAGCATCATTTGTCAGTCCCCAACCAAGAATGGAACGCTCTGAAGGGGCCACCATGTGGTCCCCATCAGATGCAACGGACACATCCGACCCTGACCCTGACCCTGATACACCATGGTCTACATGACGGTTGGTAGCTCCTTCATCAGCTTTAGTTGAAGGGGAAACAACTACAGATGTAGCAAACTCGATCACCTAAAAAATAAAATACAACCCCTCATTCCATTAATGATGCACTTAAAACTTTGTCTTAGAAAAGCATTGTGAATGATATATTTAAACAAACAAAAAAAAAGGATAATACCTCGGACATACTTTTCCTCTTCTTGCCCCTACTTGTCACTGCAATGTTTTAAGAGAAACGAATCCAAATTTAACTACTTCTTTTAAACATCATGTAAAAACAAAAAGCATTTTTGCTTTAGCTCATATAATAAACAAGGATTAACAAAATCGTATTTGCTTCTAACCAGTGGGAGTTTTGAGATCTTTTGTAGAAATTTCCAAGGGATGTTGTTTCTTGGATGTTGCTTTCACTTTTTGTAGATTCTCTTTGTTGTGTTTCATGAGAAGTCCCTTGCTTACCCACCCATCCCATCTACCAAACCAAAATATTGAACAACCAAACATTGGTAATCAAGTATGGATATGCTACATTCACTATGACAACAATAATAAATAAATAAATAAATAAAAATTTGATTCATTGACTCCTTAAAAGTTCCCTCTCATCTAGTAATCTGTATATACGTGTCTGTAACAAGCTATAAAACTATACAATTCAAAGGAAAACGTTCAAAATGAAAAATACTTGTTCATGATATGAATAATACTCGTTTCTAAATAAAGACAAGATTTGTCAAAGAGGGATAAAAAGAATCAAAGAAGTACTTACTTTCGGTTCAACCCCAGCAAAATCAAAACAAAAATAAACTGTTAGCAGCTATTTGAGCCCCAAAACGGTTGTTCATGTTCTAAGTTCTATATACGATATTTAATGATCCACACATCACAAAAGCATACCAACTACAATTGAAACTCTTACAGGGCACATCCTTTTTAAGAATTTGAAAGCACGTAGATTGAGTAATAATACTTACTACATAATGAACATAAAAACGCTTTCCCCTCGAATCAACTTCTAGCACCTGTTAGATTAGGATGTGCCACATCAGATGCTATTATACAAACAACTATAGGAAAACTGAAGAAGCATAAACTGTAGATCTAACTATAACGCACATCGAAAAGCACAATGAAGCATACTTATGACACCTTACAAAATCAAGAACCTCAAATAACTAACTAGTTTTAATATAAGAAGATTATGATGACAAACTTTTGAATTTTTTTGCAAATACAGGTGTACCAATCTAAGCCTTTCCCTCCTACAGATCATTTTCAGCCATCAATATTCTACAACTTTCATGTTTTCCTTTGTTTGATAATCAAAACTTTTCCGAAAAAAATTCGGGCTACTTGCCCTCTAAATCGATTAACTAAGTTGTTTCCCTCTAACAAAAGCGAAATTTTTAATAGAACAGATTAGAAATCAACCATAAATGTTAATAAGAACGATTTTAAGTGTATTCTCAAAAGGGCACTTTGGCTTCGTGAATGACACTGCTACGATAAGCTAACACCTTCTCTCCTTGATGGAACATACTTGAGTTCAACAAAAAAAGAGATTCAACGACGCTATCTTTACCTAGATCGTCCATTTCTGTCTCTGTAGCGCCGGCTCCGACGCCATCGTTTGAGATGCTGGCGGTGATGGTGGTGAACGGTGTTTCTATGATCAATAGCCCACAACCCATGTATCATCCAGGCCATTTGCTAAAAGCCTAAACCCCAGTTTAAACCCAAAACACTATGAGTGTGTTTGTGTTTGGCTTTCAGTAAAAAATATTGTTTATCGATTTTAAAAAGTGTTTATGTTATTTTTATGGTAGGAAAAGCCTAAGAGCTATATAAAATAAATAAATAAATAAATAAAAACCCTAAGGGTCCGTTTAGTTGCAGAAAAATGGGCAGTTTTTCGGAAAAATTTTCAAAGAAAAATGAGAATTTTAAAAACGCGTTTAGTTCGTCTATTTTTCAAAAATTTCACCCACAAACACACACATACACCCCGACAAACTCACACCTACACCCACACACACACACCCACCCAACACCACTACCATAATCACCGACCTACCATCACCATCACCACCACCACTACCCCATCACCACCACCACTACCGCCACAATTGTCGCCGCCACCTCCACCATCACTATCATCGACATCACCACTGCCCCCCCCCCCTGTCGCTGCCCCCACCACCGCCACCGTCCCCATGCCCACCCTACAATCGCTACCATTTTCTAAATATGAAAACCGGTAGAAAAATACACATCTAAACACGTTTTCTAATTTTCTAAAACTGAAATTGAAAAATGATTAAGTTTTAACTAAACGTGTTTTCTAAA